TTTTAGTCAATTTTGGGAAAACAGTTACTAGGTATCCAAATGTCACAAAAATTAATCGAAAAGATTGCATAAAGCTAATGTTACTTATAACTCTTGTCACACTTTCTTTTCTAAAAGTCTTACTGATTAACTATATATATAACTTATTGTGAAAAATTAGTTTGTAAAATAAGAAACAGTTATGATTAACTTGTTATGTTAAATATCACTAAAAACCACAACAAAAAAACTAAAATCTTCTTTTTATTTGTGTCCCAGTGATTGGACCCAATCATATAAAAACTCTAAGAACACGCCCCTAACGTAACGCCTTTAAAATGTTTATGAATTATTTTTTTTTTCATATTCATTAGAATCAAAATTTATCAACAAATTTTAAATATCATTCCAAAAAAATATGCCATTTAAAAGTTGTGATCTTTTAAAGTAATTTTTTGCAGTTAATTGGGGAATAAAAACCAATAATAACTTTTTAACAAGAGATTTTTGTATGAAATTTTAAATCTGTCGATTAATTTTAATCTAACTAAAGATATTATGAAAAAAAATTTTAGAAACCATATATGGGACATGAGGACCCAAATTTTAAGTTTAATGTTGTTTTCAGTCTCCGATTGTCACAATTTTATCTAAAACATTCTTATTTTGCATTAATATGATTATTACAAAATTTTATGAAAGCATCATTTCTGAAAGTCATCTATCTTAAACACTAAAAACTCTGGACCAGCTTGTTTAACTCCCTTTTAATTTTTTAGATACTGACAGAATATTTTCAAAATCTAGGTCATAACAGAACAAAGTATTGTGGTTTTGAACATGTAATCTGTTTCTGGTGTACTTTTTTTTCATAAGAATTATTTCTACTGGGTGTGATTGCATAACTCAGTTCCATAAAACTGTAAAAATTATACTTTAAAAATTTGATCAGACACTGTCTGACCCAAACAAGTTTTGATCTGACATTTTATCCGAGACATTATAAAAAATTAAATTGAGCCCTATATATATATATATATATATATATATATATATATATATATATATATATATATATATATATATATATATATATATATATATATATATATATATATATATATATATATATATATATATATATATATATATATATATATATATATATATATATATATATATATACAGGTCTTGGCGGGATTTAATAAGCACGAGAGCAGAGAAAATCTTTCCTAAAATGAACATGGCGTGCCATGCAAGCTGCTTTTCTAAACTGCTTTTTATGAAAGCTGTTTGTTTATATAAAAATTGCTTATTAAATACAAAATTTGGTTTTATACTTATTACAAGCATATATTTACAATGTTAATGTTAATGCTTGTTATTACAATGATGCTTGTTATGCCTATACTATTATACCAATTGTTATACATTTATTGTATAACAATAAATGTATAACAATATTCCAATTATTATTAATTGTATGCATCATTTATTGAGGTATAAAAAATTCTTTAGAATTTAAAGTTTTTTTTTTGCAAAAAAATTTATCATCCAATTAATTATACTATTTTGATTTTGCAATTTTCATTTTAGTTACAATAATAATTATAATTTTGACAGGGGCGTGCTGGCTCCAAAAAGCACATGCAGGATTTTTTTAAAGAGGCCCATATATACGGGATTTTGCCAAATAAGCTTGATTTGAAGGCCCACATTTGTACATATATTTAATTATATATGAATATATTTAAATATATAAATAGAAAATATATATAAGTGACGTATCCAGAAATTTTTTGGGCATACCAGCCTAAAAATCCTGTCTACCTTAATATGTTGTTTTTTAATTTAAACACAAATTCTTATATAATTATTTATTGTTATATAACTCGCGCTAGTATTTAAAGCTTTTCCTATTAAAAATGTAAACAATTAATTAAAACAATGATACATTTATTACAAAATGACGGCTTCAACATCAACCTCAATTTGCTGCTAGTTTTCATTTACTTGCTTTATTCGGTTACTAATATAAAGAGTATTACCTCATAAACAAGCGATAATTATAACATTTAATAAACAATATTTTTATTTTTCTCTTATACAGACTTCAAAAGATTTGTTACATATTTATTACATAACAATGTCATTTTATTCAAAATTTTAATTAATTCATTTAAAAATTATTAACTTTTTTTTCTTTTTTTACACCTACTTTTCAAATCTTGTTTTTTGGCGCATTTATCATAATGTTATTATGCTTTAAAAACTTTTCTTTTGTTTATTATTTAAAATATTTTTAATGCAATTTTACTGTTATTTGAAATTAAAAAGTTTAAAGCTCATATAATTTAATCGCTTTGAAAATTGTATTTAGTAAACATAAGCGGAGGAAAAACTCAAATTAGTATATCTTTTAAACCTTAAATTTTAAATTGAAATATGCTGAGCGTTTCATATTTAAATCCAATTAATGCGTTTAACATTTTAATCCAGTTGTAACATATTCCATATTTCATCAATGTGAATTCGAATAAAGCATTCTGATTGACTTAAAATACATTTAAAATATGTTTTAAAAGTGGTTTTTCAAATATTGGATTTTCTAATGGAGATTACAAACGTAGCAAATTTTATTATCAGTAATAAAAAATTATTTTACTTTATTTTTATGGGTGCTAATATAAAATTGTTTTAAATTGAGTTTGGGCTGAAATTTAGGGGGCCCATACCGGTATACCAGTATCAAAATCAGCCTGGATACGTTGCTGTATATACATATATATATATGTATATATATATATATATATATATATATATATATATATATATATATATATATAAATATATATATATATATATATATATATATATATATATATATATATATATATATATATATATATATATATATATATATATATATATATATAGTAAAAAACTGACCTTATGCAGTTAAATTAACATACTAAAGCTACAAGTTATATTTGGATTTCCTTAGAATTAAAATTGGTACCGTGCTGCGGCAAGCACATTTTATTGTGCTGCAGTAAGCGCTTTTAATTTTTTCATTCCTAAAAATAAACAAATTTTACCACGTTTTTATGGTAACCAAATAGGATTTTTATTTTGTTTAAAAAACATAAACGTTAAAATTTAAAAAGTATATATATGATTATACTATATATATATATATATATATATATATATATATATATATATATATATATATATATATATATATATATATATATATATATATATATATATATATATATATATATATATATATATATATATATATATATGTATATATATATATATATATATATATATATATATATATATATATATATAATATATATATATATATATATATATATATGTATATATATATATATATATATATATATATATATATATATATATATATATATATATATATATATTTATATTGTAGTCGAAAGAGTCTTTTAATGTAAAAAAAGTCTCTTTTGTCTAAAAAAGTCTACAATTTTAATTACCTCGTCTCTTAAGCTGAATTTGATTGTCGTCGAAATGTCAAAGCAATTATATATATATATATATATATATATATATATATATATATATATATATATATATATATATATATATATATATATATATATATATATATATATATATATATATATATATTTATATATATATATTTATATATATATATTTATATATATATATATTTATGTATATATATTTATATATATATATTTATATAAATATATTTATATATATGTATAAATGCATATATTTGTTATATATTTTTGTTTAGGAAACTGGTTTTCTAGATGAAATAATTGAGTGTGTTGAAGAAAACGCAATTTTTGGTATAAAAATTTTTTTTAAATGAGTTATTTATATTCTTTGAGAGGAAAGATGAAATTATCAATATTCTTAAAAAAATATATATCTTTTTGTAATCATTTTGGAGCTAAATACATTACACTGAAAACATACTCAACTTACGCAACAAAGTAAGTTGAGTATGTTTTCAGTAAACAAAGTTTTCGAAAGAAACCTTTTTCTTCAAAATTTTTTGTTAAAAAAAGCGGTTACTAAAGTTTATAATGTTTAAATATTAGTTTCAACGTATTTGCGGTTCCTGAAATGAATGCATGCAGAATACTTTCAAATAGAAATAAAATGCTTTATTTATTTATTTGTAAAATAAAAATATTTAACTACTTTTTAAATAGCAGTAGTACATATAATAAATGCAATTTTATAAAAACTCATACAAATTATTTATAATTAAAAGCATTACGATATTTGTTAATGTAAAAATAATTAATCGTTCTCAATTAACAAAAATTTTATCAATATGAATTTTTTTCCATAATTTAAAATTGAACACATTTATTTCACATAACAATCATTGGCTAATTTTCTCTATATATTTTCTCTATATTTCTCTATTTGGCTAATTTTCTCTATATTCTCATAATAATCATTGGCTAATTTTCTCTATATAACGACTAATATAATAAGCAATTTAAGTGGCATAACAATCAATTATTTTTTGCAATATCGACTTTGTTTTGAGGCAAAAGTTACTAACAGCTGCATTTTATTATGCAAAATAATAATATATATGCACTTGAAATCTAACAGTTCAAATCAGAGATTTGTTAAAGAATTTAACTTGTGGAATAAAAAATAAAGCAAATAAATATCATTTGTGAATCATTTTCAGAATGTAGTAAAGGGTATGAAAATTCAAAAAAAAGACCCTTCTAATGATAAATAGCAATAGGCCCAAGCAAGATTCCCGCATAGCCTCTGAAAAAAAGTAAAGTTGGTAAGTCCACATTTAGGTGTTTAATTTACTAATGACTATGTCCTAAATTAAGTTAGCTTACCATTTACAAACATAACTAGAAAATAATTAGAACTTAATAAATAATATATAAAATCAAATAATTTAAAATCATGCTTAAACAATATTCATGAAAATGAATTATAAAATTCAAAATAGTTACAGTGTTGTTAGTTCCAACATCTATCATTATTGGAAGACAAGCAGATGGATGAATACCACCACAAGCAGTATATAAAGCAAGTTTTCCAATAGGTATTCCCATTCCATTACAACCTAAATCTCCTAAACCAAGAATTCTTTCTCCATCTGTCATAACCACAGCCTGTAATACAAAAATTTAACCAGCTATTAAAAATTGAGCATAAGATTTAGGAAAATCAAAGAAGCCACTTTAACCTTTTTCTTTGAGTTTTTACCTGCACTCTTCTTTCTGGCCAGTTACTAATAATATCATAAATATGACCAATATCATGAATAGTGATAAACAAACCTCTAAAAAGATAAAAATATTGTAAAATAAAATGAAGATAAATAATTTTTTATAAAAATATCTTTTAATTAAAACAATTCTTTTCAATAGAAGTTGTATGTATTGAGTTTTGCAAATAATAAAAATAAATAATAATTTAAAATTTATATACCGTCGCTGCAAAAAAAAACTATGCTTGGATAAACAAAATTAGATGAGCAAAAGCTTTGAGCAAAAGAGTTGACGTAGAATATTTTGACGAAGAGATTATTCTATGATTTAATTTTGTATGGATTTACTTTGTATTTATTTAATTTTGTATGGATTTATAGCCGTAACTAAATGGCACCATATTTAGGTATAAGTAACTTAAAGTGGTTAGCATATTGCAGAATATATTTACAAATTTTTTCTTTAATTATATAAAATTAATAAATATAACAGGTAGGTTATTACGATCATAGCTCCAAATTATTAATTAAATAATTATAATAATTAATAAGCAATATTATAGTTGAATAATTGTGACTTTATTTAAGATTTAGTTTTATTAGTTTTATTATAAATAAATATAATTTAAGATAGAGCCTTATTATGAATAAAAAAAAAAAATATTATTATAATTTAAGATACAGCCTTGGATAAATATAATTAATAACAAAAAGAATCCTTAGGTGCACATCTCACAAAGTATGGAACCAAAATTGATTCAACTTTTGCAACTATGAGTATAAATTCAAATATCTTATGTCCTAAAAAAAAGAGACATCGTTGCTGCACAACAAAACTATCTTAAGTCAATTTTTTGGCAAAAAAAAAAAAAAAAAAAAAAAAAAAACTTTTTTGGTTTAAAATACTTAAAACATATAACAAATAAATGAAAACAAGTAGATTTAAAAATAGTAGTATTTAAAAAAATCAGAAGCAGTGATTTAATTTAAAACTTTAAATGTCTTTTTCTCAACAGCAAAACAGACTTAAGATTGTCTTGTTTTGCAACGGCAACTTAATTTGTAGAATTTGACATATTTTATACAGCTTTAAGACTATCTTAAGTCCATTTGCATTGCTGCTTCTTATAAATTTAAAATTCTATTTTTTATTTGTTATATTATGAAAAATAATAACATATTCTATAAGTGTTTTAAAAACAATTTAGTTTAATGAAGAAGATCAAACGCAGTGATGAACTAAAAACTTTAAATGTGTTTTTCTCAGAACAGCAAAAATGGACTTAATCTTGTTTTGCAGCGACAATATTTAAATATATAAATATATATATATATATATATATATATATATATATATATATATATATATATATATATTTCATTTTAAAAACAAAACTAATATTTAAATATATAAATATATATATATATAAATATATATATATATATATATATATATATATATATATATATGTATATATATATATATAAATATATATATATATATATATATATATATATATATATATATATATATATATATATATATATATATATATATATATATATATATATATATTTCATTTTAAAAACAAAACTAATACCAAAGCTATAAATATAAGATACGTAAATTTCAAAATTATACTGATATTTGTTAAAAACAAGTTCTGCTAATATCTTAAAACCGAAAGTACTATTTTTTTGGGGGGATTTAGTAAGAAATAGTGAAAATATATTAGGTTAAACGGTACATAAAAATAAGTTATTTTAATGGAAATAAAAAAAGCCGAAAAGCGGCAATCTTTATTTAATTACAATTTTTAATATGTCAAAAGCCAGTTACTAAAATGTTTTAGGCAGCGTAAAATTTTTTTATAAAGGAACCCAATCTAATTGTGTAGTTGTAAGTACATTTAAATCCCTTTAAGAAAATCAACCATAAACAAGTGTCTCCTCCTTTAAAAAAAAGTAACCATAAAACGAATATTTTAAAGCAAAAAAAAAAAAGTTGAAATAAGTATAAGATTTTTTTTTAAAAAACATAAATTTTTTTATAACAATATTGTTTAATTTAAAGATATTTTATTTTAAAGGTAAATTATTTAAATGGTAAGATTTATTTTATCACGATTTGCTTGTTTATTCATATTTTTCCCATTCTATATGAATACTTTCTTTAATTTTTAATTCAATTTTGTTATTGGCATGATCTTAAGTTGAGAAGCATTCATCACTATAATTAGTAAAACATTTTTCTTTTGAGTGAAGATGCTTACGAATAAGAGAGTTTTTATCCCTTCTGTAGTGTTCAATTATTTGTGTCTTTAAGTGGCGAGAGGTTTTGTTAATATAACAGGATTTACTGCACAAACAAATTTGTAAATGACAAATGATTTAAAATCTACAGGAAGGTGATCTTTAGATGAAAAAAAGTTAGACACTTTTAATGAAGTGATTTATATCGTAATCGATATACAATGTCTTTTAATAATTGTGTGTAATCTTTGCAGGTATTTTAGGTATTTTACCAATATAAGGGAGTTTGAAATAATGCGAGTTTGGTAGGGTTTCAGACAGCAATGGAACATCAAAATTAACTTCATTTAAGTAAGAGTTGTGAATTTTTTTTATTTAGATTCTACCCAAGATGGGTACATATTACGTTTGAGATATTTGGACGTTTGAGATTTTTAATATTATAATGAAGACCAAGGATAGTATTTTATTTTATATATAATTTTGAATGTTGAATGTTTGATATATAATTTTGAATGTTCAATCAATTAAACATTATATATGACTTATTTTATATGAAAAGTAAAAAAAAAAAAAAAAACTGTAAAAGAAGATGTATAATATGGTTTTCTTTATGAAAGACTGTTGTATTTATTGAACTGTTTACATAGAGTTATGTCTAAAGGGATGTTTTTAAGTTTTTTTACTATTCTATGGTAAAAAATATTGAAGAATGTTCTTTTTTTATATAATCCAAAAATAAAAGTGCATAGTTTTCAGAGGAGAAAGCAGCAAAAATATCATCTACATACGTTTATAAAACAATAGTTTTATTCCATTATAAGATTTGACCCATTTTTCTTTAAAATTACACATTAAAAGATTAGCAAGTACAGGTGCTAATGGAGAACCTATAGCATCGCTGTCAATTTCTTCATAAACCTGTCTTTTAATAATGTTGTAAACTCCCTTTTTATAAACCTTTCTATTCAATGTAACAACAGAAAATTTAAATGGATAGAAAAGATTTTTAATAATAATAATTAAAAACGTATATTGTTAATGATCTAACTAAACTTTAACACTTAAAAAAAGAGGCCACCATTAATAGGGTAACCCAACTTCAAAACTTCTTAAGAAAACTCAAAAGTCACTCAAAAGTTCTTTGATGATTCAAATTATAATAAAATTTATCCCACAGGTTCTTGTCCTGCTCGCATAAACAGCCTTCCAAAAAGGCTCACCTTCTTGTAGATTTTAAACCATTCACTGTTTACAAATTTGTTTGTACTGGATGTAAATTCTGTTATATTGGTGAATGATTGAACATTACAGTTTAGTTTTTGTCCATAATTCCTTTATATTTATCTTCTTTGGTTTAAATTATTTTATTTGTGCTAGGGATTAAAGTTAGTTTTTAAATTTAAACATTGTTTTTTTTTTTAAACTAATAGATTGCTTGCCCTAACACTTAATAAAATTATATTATTGATTTAAATGATTTTCACAATTCACAAGCTCAAAACATTTTAAAACTCAAAAATCTGCATATAAATTTCTTTTTTACTATATTTGCCTCGCGAAAGTCACGAGCAAACCATCCTAGGAAATAAGTGCAATTTTTTGTCTTGTGTCCATGCATGAGTATTTTATTTTAGACAACTTGGTCACAGCTGTTTTGAAGTTTTTTTCTATTAAGCGTTGCAGAAAAAAGTTTCAAAAAAATTTTCAAACTAATAAAATACTAAAATAATATTTTATTTAAATAAATAGAATAAGTATTTTTTATTATAAAATGATTAATTTAAATAATTTGTTTATATTTTTGTTTCTTTAGGGTGGTTGTTATCTTCAGCAACAAATTTTAAATTGACATTAAAAAGAATGATTTTATATATATATATATATATATATATATATATATATATATATATATATATATATATATATATTTTAATAGGGGAAAGCGAAAATTGCTATCTGTTTGTATATATATATATATATATATATATATATATATATATATATATATATATATATATATATATATATATTCGTATAGTTTTAAAATAATAAGTATATATTGTCCCTCATCTATGTAATGCATGCATATACTTTATTATATAATGAATGTCCATGACTCAAATCCTACCACTGGTCATTTTTTAAAGTTGCTTTTCTTTTAAATACCGCTGGTCATATATTTGCTTTAAAATCATTTATCTTTTTTTTTTGCATATAAAAAATCTGCATGTTTATGAATGATACACATCTCTTCACATTCAAATTTCTTATACCATTTAAGCTTTTTTTGTGCATTTTCATAATAACAAGGATGTAGTACTACCAAGGATGCAACGAGATGCAACGAGAACTTACTTATGGTACTTTGAATACTCTACCTCTACTACTGCACTATAAACACTTTGATACAAAACAAAACATTGTTCTTTCTTTGTCTTTTTTAATAATTTAGGATTCCTAAACCTTTAGTTTATCAAGTCAGAATTTTTTAAGTGTTAAAATCAGATAGCAAGTTTTATGTTTAATTTATTTTGTAACTACTCAAATGTTATTAAATTGAACAACAAAAACAACAACAACAACAAAAAACATTATTTTATTAATATGATTATTTAATGTCAATTAATTGTATAGCAATAAACCATTATAAAACAATTATTACCTTGGGTCACGAAATATTAATCCATACTCTTGACAAGCTTGCCCCACCGTGGGTGTGTAAACAATTGGTGTTAGTTCTTCTATATTATCCATTAACAGTTGATAAAATAATCTTTCATTTCTTGAAAGTATTTGGGTTAAAAGAATATACTTTTGTAAATCAGTCTGCAGTCTTCTTATTTGAGTCATAGCTCTGTCCATTTGCAATTTTTGATTGTTGATTGCTGGAGGTAATAACCCATGAATACCAAGAATTTGTCTCTCAGCAAGTGTGAATGCAGTACTCTTAAAATAAACATAACCAAATTATTGTTCGTGTGAAAGCATGTAGGGCGTATTAAACTCAATAATAATACGTGACTTATTTTAGCATTATATATTTTAATTAGCTAACTCATATATTTATATACTAACATAGTATATTTCACGTTAATAGCTAACTCAAAAAAACGCTTCTTTCTATAAATTTATACACAATTATTTATACCTATAATACTTTCCCAAGAGAGATATAGGTATTTTCTAATTTTATATTGATCTATATACAAAATTTGCTAATTGCCTAATTTGCGAAGGAAATCTCTAAGGTCAATATTTGACGCTTAGAAACACCTAAATAGCAAAGGAAATCTCTTAGGTCAATATTTGACGCTTAGAAACGTTTATAATACAACTACATTATTTACATTAAACTATTATTTACACTAATCGCTTCGTGAACAATTATATTGACATAAAAACTTCTTTAAAGATAAAAAAAACTTATAAAACATCATTTGAAAAAATATTTTTAAAATTTAAATAATATTCTGCTCAACTGCACTTTATTAAATGTGAAAAAAAGTCTTCTCTTATTCAGGGGCTGTCCTAGAAAAATATTTTGGGCGACAATACCCACCATGCCGGTGCCTACTGTAAGGAAATTTTGCAGAAACATTGCCTTATATAAGCATTTTATTGTTAAAAATGTTTTTGCTAGAAAAAGTCCTTAATGTCTGAATTTGGCAGCTCCTCAATGTTGTCTGAATACATTCAACGCTGTTGAAAAGCCTCTTTTATCAAAGGTGGAAAAAAGTTTTTCTCTTATTAAAAGTGAAAAAAAGTTCATCTCTTATTAAAGGTGAATGAGAACTTGTCTCTTATTAAAGGTGAAAAAAAAAAAAATTTCTTTTATTTAATGTGAAAAAAAGATCTATTATACCTTATCCTACTTTATTGTTTGCTCAACTCAATTATATCTTGATGAAGTCAAGATATAATTTAAAATAAAAAAACAAAATAAAATAAAAAACTAAGTAAAACTTTATTATCAGGTTCTCAAACTGAATTTTTTTAAATCGATGTGTAACATTGTAAAACTGAAAAAACTCTATAAAAATTTAAAGCAAGGAATATTTTAATGTGAAATAATAAACAACTTAACAACAACAAACTTACATAAACTAAAATTCATTGGAACAGTCTTTGTCAATAATTACTACAATTAATAATTTTTGGTATAAATTATTTGGTTTAAAGCTTGAAAATTTAAAGCTAGATTTAACTGAACTTTGTCGAAGTTAAATTTTTATCTAAGATACTTTTAGATACTCACACAAAAAAAAGTTAACTAAAGTAACCCAAAAAAACAACCCTCATTTTGAACACTAAAGTTTCTAATTTCTATGCGCTGTTGACTTTTTATGAAATTACATTGTTACTGTTGTGTAAAGTAATGTATACCAAATATAAATTTACAAGTAAACTCATTTAAAAATAAATTTACAAGTAGTTTTATTTAAATATTGTTTAAATTTAAAAATTTATAAAATACAATTGCAATTTTTGCAATTTGATCCATTATATATCATCATGAAAAAGAGGCCAGTAAGGACAAAAATGTAAACAAATAGCAAAAAACTACTTGAGTAATATTTTTAAATAAGTTAACTATCTAATAAATTATGTATGGATTTAATAGCGACTGCCTTAAAAATAAAATAATTTAGTATCTAATATTGCAATATATAAACAGAAATAGTAAAATAGAAAAAATTTAAATTTGAAAAAATGTGTATCTTTAAAAGAAGGTATGTACAATCTATTTACAAAATATGTAAAACCTATTGCGTTTCTCCCTGTGTTCACAAGACACAAGTTCACAATTAATAGTTATATGGACAAACGTTAAATGAAAAAAAATATTTAAAAAACTTAAATAATATATAATAAAAATTTTTTGAAACTGGATTGTTAGCTTAACTATGCAACCACTAGCAACTCCGGATGAACTTGTTAACAAGTCCATCTGGACTTGCACCAAGCCAGTGGTCTTTTAGTCATTTTAAAATCGATTTAAAGGTATATTAAATTAAAATAATTGTTCTTACACTAAAATAAATGAATTTTCCTTAAACTAAGAGAAATGCAAACCTTAAAAGAAAATGATTCAGTCAAACAATAAATAGTTTATACTGGTTCATTACCTACAGGAGAATTATTTCTTTAAAAACATCACTCATTTGGCTATTATCCACAAGTCAAAAATGGACTTATCTGGACTAATGTTTGTTAATAGTTTATGCTTATAACAAAATTATTATTGCAAACACTGACTTTGATTAATGCTAGTTTTTAGATATTACTGATAAACTTTTTTTAATAAAAAATATATTTTATTGTGCCTAATAATAAATATTATATTTCTTATATTTTTACTGTTTTATAAGAACTGTTTCATAAAGTTTACATAAGTTTTCATAAGCAGTTTACAGTCCAAATTTGATTAGTTGATCCATATAAAACATTTTTTTTCACTTCACAAAACATTTCCTTTCGTTCTTGCTTTTTTTAATTATTTGTTGTATGGCACATTCCAAATTTTTATGCTGCTATTGGTGCTATTGTTGTTGAATTTCTATAATCTCTTTGTTCATTTAAAAAGGCAAGAATGTTTAGTGTTACATCTAAAGGTTTACGCAGATCATTAAATAAAAACCCTATCAGCCGTTACAGATTCATCACTCTCCCATAGCTTTTTTTTGCAAAGGCAATTGCTTAACTATGAAAAACAAATATCAGAGCCAGAAAAATTAGTTTTATAACAAATGATAATGCACCAGAAAAAGCAATTCCAACTAATACTTTATAGGTAATGCAGTAAACTGTACGTTGGAAGGTCTTTGACAAAACAATTTGATACAATTAAAAACTTTCACTTGAGGATATGTCTCTTTAAAACATTTAGGTATATTATGTTTAAGTGATTTAAATTTGGCCAAATTTGTTTTGCACAAAGTTTAAGGTGTATAAAACTTGGCTGTGTATATAAGGTATTTCTAAACAGATTGGTGCTTTAAATAACCAGATAAGTAAGCAAGTGAAACTTCTTCATGTAAAACTTCAAGTCTAAGCTATGTTAAAAACATAAATAGTTGGTCAATCAGTTTTATTTTTGACCGCGTATGGATTCTGGTGTGAAATATAAAGGAGATGAAAACAATTCTTTAGGTAGCCTTTTCTCAGAAAATTATTTTCCATGTTTTCACATTCTTTTTCAAGATTTAAACATTCAAATAAAACTTTTCATTTTTTCATGCTAGTAAATGAGTTGAAATATTTAAAATATTTAACTTTCAACATTTTCGTAGTTAAAAATATTACTTTTGAATTGTTTTTTTTTCATGTTTTTGAACTTTTATATTCTTCAAGCAAGCTTCTATAACTTTCATGACATACTTTCAACTTTTTTCAATGAATGTTTTTTTGGATAACAAAAGTTTACATTTTTTATAATCAACTTTTTCCGTAGAACCGATTATTGTATGAGTTTTTTTTATAAATATTAGCTGTAAAATCTAGATATTTTGACTTTTTTCATGGAGATTTTCTAGGTAATTTTTTTTGCAGTGTGTTGAATGTCAATAATTTGTTTTCTTAAGCTTTGTAAACATCGAATTTTGTAAGCATCAACTTTATTTTTCTCAATATTGCTATTGTAAAACGAACTTCCGCATAGTGTTATAAAACAATACATTCTTCTTCAATCTTTTTACATTTCCTTGTTGGAGAAAGACTTGTTTAAAAGAGAGAAATTATTATTTAAATTTAATCATTTTGAATTTGAGTTTTTATCAGTTTATATTTTTGTCCTTACTGGCCTCTTTTTCAAGCTGAGAAATTAGTCGCGCAATCGAATTAGAGAAATGTCTATTATTCAATTGCATTTAGTGCATTTAGTGCTCAGTATTGTACGTGCATGTATAAAACATTCAATTAACCTTATGTTCATACTAAACCTCAAAAAACGTTTTATAAATTTGTCGAAAAACATATAAAAATTTTTAACTTATCGCATAATATTTTAAAAAAAATTCAAAAAATTTTTCAAAAATTTTGTTTTGGAGTTGGAGAACACTTTTGCTTGGACAGGATGGTCATCCTGTCCAAGCAAAAGTGTCATCATCAAAGCCGTCACATGCTTTAATTGACCTCAATTATTATTAATTTTTTTTCTTTACAATATGATCATGACGGTTTTGATGTTTTAACAATTTAAACTCTATTAAAAAAATTGTTACAGGCCTTCTCGTAAGAAGCCTGCGATTGCACGCCTTATATGACCACGCATATAGTTCTTTGTTTTAACAACTAGAACACGGCTCTTTGAAAGTTTTGATAATTAGCGAGTTTAAAAAATGCGCTAAAAAAAAAACAAAGCAAATTAAAATTAGAATAAACAATCCGTTGAACTAAAAAGAGAATAAAATCCTTAAAAAATTATATAATACAAAAATTAGCCTAAAAAAATAAAATATCTAAAAAATGATAAAATAAATAAAGAAAAAACCAGAAAAAAAATAAAAACATATATTAATTAATATAAACTTAAATGTAAGCAAAATTAAATAAAAAATTATCATAGCTCTAATAATCTTTATCATTCCTTCTCATGAATACAAGCTAATACAAGGGCTAATGCAAAAATAATTTTGCAATCAATAGTTTTTTTTATTTATTATAAAAAACACATTTTAAATGAAAAACAATTAATTTCAGAGACAAAAAAAAAGCCAAAACATAATTATATTTTTCAATAGCGTCACTTTTAAGTAAAATAAGTAATTACGCTATAGAAGTTAGTAATTATGTTTTAGCATGATTTTTGCATGTGCTCACAAAAGCATACATAATTTTACTTAAAATCAATGCTTTTGCAAAAACTTCAAAAGAAACCGTGCTTAAACATTTCGATTGCTTTCTTTTATTGAAAGAATACCTATACAATTCTTTATTGTAAATAATTT